TTCAGCCGCTCCACCAGCCCTTTTTTGTGTTGGGTTTTTTTCAAGATAGGGTCTCATGAACTATTTGTCCAGGCTGGCTTTGAACCACACCCTCCTGATCTCTGCCTCCTGAGTAGTGAGGATTACAGGTGTGAGCCACCAGCACCCAGCTCTGACTTGTTTCTTAATCTTCCTTCCTTTTTGTTTTTTTTGTTGTTGGTGGTGCTGGGGTTTGAACTTGACTTCACCTTGACTTCACTCTACTACTTGAACTATGCCTCAGCCCTCTTTTGCTTTACTTATTTTCCATATCAGACTTGAGTTTTTGCAGGCTGGCCCCAGACTTCAATTCTTCTACAGCCTCTCCCAAGTAGCTGGGATCACAAACATGCACCACTGTACCCGGCTTGTTTGTTGAGATGGGGGGGGCGGTCTCACTAACTTTTTCCTGGGCTGCCCTTGAACCTCAATCCTCTTGATCTCCAAATAGCTGGCTGGGATTACAAGTGTAAGCCCCCAAGTCTGGTCTTTTTGCTTTATCTTCTACTCGGTAGCACATTCTAGAATTCATTTCTCTTGTTGTATTGTTTATTGCCCGCTAGAACGTGAGCTCCAGGGTGAAAAGGATTGTTGATTTGGTTCACTGCTGTGTCCCTGGAGCCCCACCTGGTGCGGTGCCCGGAACATAGTACATCTTCAAAAATTAGGGATTCATTGATTGATTGTGCCATACAGACGGTAAAAAGAGAAGGCTAGCAGGGAAAGACATCAGACAGAGGGTTAATACTCTTACAGAGAGAATGCTTTCAGATCAATAAGGAAGCAATAGACAGCCCAAGAGAAGGATACGCAAAAGAAATAGACAAGAAATTGGCACAGAAAACAGGACACAGTTCTCAGTCTCCCTAGGACCGGAGCTATGGAAATTCGACTGCTGCCTTTAGTCAGGCAATATGGTACAAGACTGACAGACAGGAGGGAGCAAGGTGCAGACTTGAAAGTATAAGTGCTTTGACCTCTGGCCTCATGCTGCATGGAGGCCTATGCTGCCAGTCCCATTTCACAGGCTGCAAAAACTGAAGACCAGAGAGGGCAATGAATTCAGTGAGGTCACACAGCAAGAGGGGATACTGAAGCTGAACCCAAAACTTGGCCTTTGCAATTCCATCCCCTCCCTTGGGTTCCCAGACACCCTGTGGGACCATAGCTGGGCACAGGCAGGGTAGGTGAAGGGTAGGGCACCCCATACCAGGGCTACCTTCGCTTTTGGAGTGAGTCTGAAATGCATGACTTGACCTGAGGCCTCAGTTTCCTCTTTTGAGACTGTGAATGAGAGAGATGATGCACGCAGAAGCTGTGGAGAGGAGTGAGGACCTAAGTGAGCACTGGGTAAACACACAGGCCTGAAGCTGTGCTCTGCCCCCACTCCATGTGGGGTGGAAACTCTGAGTCTGGTCCCCTGGTCCTCTGCTCCACAGCTGTGTTCCACAGTACTGGACGCTGACCTCTCCGGAGGCAGGGCGGATCTTCCCCACCCCTGCAGGTCCCCCAGGCCCCACTGCCAGCTGGCTCCTCTCCGCCACACAGGGTGAGTGGAAAAAACCCTGACCGGGTGGACAAACTGCCCCGCTGGCTCTGTGACTCCAGGCAGGTTAACCCCCTTGCTGGGGCTCCCTCTCCTCCCTTGCTGGATCATTCCATCCATGCTGATTTTAATACACTTGCATAGCCATCAGTCCTGTGACAGGTGACAGTCAGAGCTCTGGTGGTCAGATGGAGACACCAAGGCTAGAGAGACAAATCTACTGTTCAAGGTCGCCAACAGGGAGGGTGGAGAGAAGGGACAGGGAGCAGCTGAGAGGAACAGGAGAAGATGGGAGAGATGGAACCAGAGAAGAACCAGAGAGAACCAGGGAGCCACGGAGAGATAAAGACACAGAGCTGAGGCAGGAGAGAGATGTGGTCGGGCCTGACATGTGCCCCAGGGATTCCTGTGCTGCAGTCCTCACCCAGGACTCCAGAAGGGGCTGGATTTGGAGGTCAGCTCTTTAACAAGTAAACAGAGTGAAAATGAGGCTGTCAGGGTGGCCCCAATCCAAGCAGGACCGGTGTCCTTACAGGACAAGGAACTCGGTCCACAGGCACGCACAAAGGAAGGTGATGTGAGGACACAAGGAGACAGGGGCATCGGCCAGCCAGGGACAGGGACTCAGGAAAAGCCAGCCCTACCCACACCTCAACCTTGGACTTGGAGACTCCAGAACCCTGTGTTTCTGTGGCTTGAGCCATATGTAGCTGGTGGCACTTTGGGGAGGCAGCCCTAGGAAGCTGTACAGACAGACACAGACAGAAAGCTGAGACGGTGGCGGGGGAGGCCTTGGAGGGGCCTAGAGAATGGGGGTGGGGAGGCCAGGACACCTGGTGCCTCAGGGACCCTCATCCCCTTCCCAGGCTGCATGAGCCTCATGTGCCTTGGCAACAGGAAGTGTTAGCCTGGCAGATGGAGGTTGGCCACCCCACTGTCTTGCCAACCCTTGGGACTCCTTGAATATGGAGGGTTGGAGAGAGGGGCTTGCCACTGGCTTCCGGTGAGGGGGGAGAGGCTAGAGAAATGGCATAGACTTGGGGTACACACCCTAAGGAGAAGAGACGTCTTGCAGGTCATAGGGGAATGTGTCACTAATGAGCTTACCCGATGACACAGCTTTCTTCTCCTCACAGTACTCTTGAGCTCAAGAACACTCTATAGCTCCCCACTGCCGGCACTACCAACTCCAGGCTCCTCCTGTGAGGCCCCACAATTTGGCCCTGTACCCCCACTTTGGGAAAAACCTCAGCCCCCACTGTTGTATAAAGGAGCCTCTATCCTTATGTGGTCTCTAGAATCTTCTGAGTTCATTCAGATCTTTCCATCTTTCTGCTTTCAGTGCCCTGCCTGGGATGCTCTTTCCTTCTGGCTGGTACCCAACACCCAGCTCTCCTCACACCTCTAACGCCTCCCTGCACACACCAGGCCCTCTGAGCCCCCTGGAAGAGACGCATGCTGTTCCCTCTACCTGGAACAGCCTGTCTCACATCACCACCTCCTCAGAGGGGTCTGCCCTAACCCCCCCACCATCTCAGCCCTTCCGTCTCTTCAGAGATGGCCCCTGGGACTCCTCACTGCTGTGTGTCTGCCTCCCTGTCCATCCATGTGTGCGGTGGAATGAGGACCTGCGTGTCTTGTTCCATGGCACGCATCTGGAGAATTAACACGGGGCAAGAAAACCTGAGTAATTCCTAACCTGCCCTGAAGACAAATCTCATGAATGCAAATGACGGGTCACTTCAAACCCATGCTGAGCGCGACACCAAGGCGCTCTCTTCTGTCTTACTCTAGCTTTCTATCCTGCTACAAGAAGATCCTGCTGGTGACCCCAGCGTCACATATAGATTGGACCTTCACCACCATTGCCAATCCGTGTGGTGCAAGCATGGTTGGCTTTTGTGCCTCCCTGTGGGGACCATGGGATCCTTTGTCTATTCTCTCCTGCTCTGTTCTGGGCTCGGGGACATTGACGTTCTCCTTCATTACATTCCCTTGAGAACTGGTCTTCGTGTTTGGTACCTGAGTCTGGGCTCCAGGATGGATGGGTGACAGGTGCTTGCTAGGTCCCTTCCTCAGTAAAATCCTGCTGGTAAGGCTGGTTGGTAAAAGATCTCAAAAGGGCCGAGCTTTGTTATTGGTGATTCTGGGGTTTGAACTCAGGGCTTCACACTTGCTAGGCTTGCTAGACAGATGCTCTACCATTTGAGGCACGCTTCCAGCCCTTTTTTTTGTGTTGGACATTTTTCAAGATAGGGTCTTGAGAACTATTTGCCTCAGGCTGGCTTGGAACCTCAATCCTCCTGATGTCTGCCTCCTAACTAGCTAGGATTATAGGCGTGAGCCTCCGGTGCCTGGCCAAAGGGCTGCTCTTTAAAACAAGACTAGGGAAGCAGCTGTGTTTGCCTGACTTCACCTCCCTCACCTCCCTGGTGCCCCCCACCCATCCCAAATCATCCTGAGTCTCTAGAACCCTGTTTGAAAACAAGCCTAACAATCCACAAGCAAAAGGGACATTTCCAGAGCGCCTCGGACAAGTCACAGAGAAGCTTGCTCCAGCTGACCCAGGGACTGGAGTGAGGTTGACTCTGAAGCCCTCTAAAACTTCTAAGCCACCTGACTCTGCAAGTCTGTAGGTCTGGGCCCAATTCTGGGGGGGTGGGGGTCAGAAGGGACCCACCTCTTTGGCCTCCCTCCTCATCTGTACTATGGTCACATGGAACTGTTTGGGTAAAGGCAGGAGTGGGATAGCAGAATTTGCAAGAGATAAACATGGAATCTGGACACTTGGTGGTGCCCTTCTGGCCCTATCATGTGTGAACCGCCCAATTTTAGGGACTTTTTTTTTGGAGGTACTGGAGTTTGAACTCAGGACCTCATGCTTGCTAGGCAGGTGCTCTGCCACTTAAACCACACTCCCAGCCCTTTTTGCTTTAGGTATTTTTTTGAATAGGGTCTTGCATTTATGTCCCAGTCTACCTATTTGCACTTTCCCTGTAGCTGGGATGCCAAGCTGCACTACCATAACCATCTTATTGGTTGGGGGGTGAGGAGATGTCTCGAGATCTTTTTGCCTGGATGGGCCTAGAACTGCAATCCTCCCGATATTCGCCTCCCCAGTAGCTGTGATTACAGACGTGAGCCATCATATCCGGCCTTGGGAACATTTTGTACCATTCTGCACTGTGTCCTCCTTTGTAAGTTGGGGTGACTGTGATGGTACCTACCTCCCGCGACTCTTGTGCGTGCAGATACACGAGTGGGGACTCACTCGTACTCAAGGGGTGCTTGATATGAGACCCCATTTTCATTATTACTACAATTCGTTCACCCCCAGGCCCAGTGGGCCTCCATGCCCTGGCCGCTTCTAGCCGGCCACGTGGAGGCCCCCACCTCCCGGACCCGAGGCCCCCTCCCGCCCCCCCCCTCGTCTTACCCAGGTGGGATGGCAGCTCGCGCGCTCACGCTCACGCTCACGCTGGTGGCACGCTGGGGTCCCGGCCGGTTGAGGTTGTTCTGGCCCGGGGTGGGCGCGCTGCTGGGGGCGCTGGGACTCCGCGGGGGTCCCCCGGGGGGCGGCGCGGGCTCGGCGGGGCCGGCGGCGGGCGCGGCCCAGAGCGCGGCTCCCGCGAAGGTGGCGCTGGGGCGCACGGCGAGTGCGCCCGGTGGCCCTCCCGGCGGCGGCGGCGGCGGCGGCGGGGCGGGAGGAGGAGGCGCGGCCGGCGCAGCGGGCGCCTTGCGGCGCTGCGAGGCCAGGATGGCGTTGGAGGCGGCGCGCGTGCTGTTGACCAGCAGGCACTGCTGGCACGAGCAGGGCTGGCCCGAGCTGGCGCCCACGGGCCACGACTGCGACTTGGGGATGGAGCCGACCGTGAGCGGGTAGGCCAGGTCCAGGCGGCGGCGCAGACGGCGGCGGCGGCGCGTCTGGCGGTTCATCTGCGACATGCTGTTGAAGTAGATGAGGTAGCAGAAGCCGAGCGACGAGAGGTCGAGCCACGGGTGCTGCTTCTCGTAGGCGTTCTGGATGGTGATGCAGATGTCCATGTCGTAGGCGGTCCACGCGCCGCCGTCGTTCTCCCACTCCCACACGATGCCCTTGCCCGGCGCCGACGACGGGTCGTAGAAGTTCCGCCGCACCGGCCGCATGGTGCCTGCGGGGCGGGGGCGTCAGCCGCGGGGACAGCAAGGTCCCCGGGCCCGGCACGACGCGGGGACTCAGCCCACGCGCGGAGGGGAGGGGTCACGCGGGGGAGGGCGGGCGGGGGAGGGTGACACAGGTGGGGAAGGGGAGGGTGACACAGGTGAGGGCGGGGGAGGGTGACACAGGTGGGGGAGGGGAGGGTGACACAGGTGAGGGAGGGGAGGGTGACACAGGTGAGGGTGGGGAGGGTGACAGGTGAGAGGGGATGGGGGAGGGGTGAGACAGGTGAGGGAGGGGAGGGTGACACAGGTGGGGAAGGGAAGGGGAAAGGAGGGGTCACGCGGGGGAGGAAGGGGAGGGGTGACAGGTGAGAGAGGGCGGGGGAGGGGTGACACAGGTGGGGAAGGGGAAGGAGGGGGTGACACAGGTGAGGGAGGGTGAGGGGGGTGACACAAGTGAAAGGGAAGGGATCACACAGGTGGGGAAGGGGAGGGGAGGAAAGGGGTCAAACAGGCGAGGGAGGGGAGGGGAGGGGTCAGCACAGGTCTCCAAGGGGCCCGGCAAGATGTTGGGGGGAAGTTGAGGCCGTGCTTGGAGGAGAGATGTCACGTAAGTGGGAAAGGGAAGGGGAAGAGTCAGCACAGGTGCCCAAGGGACCCAGCAAGACACTGGGGGGGGGTCGGCCCGTACTCAGAGGAGAGAGAGCCACACAGGCGGGTGGGGGGAAATCTGTGCTGAGATCTGTCCTGGAGGGACAGTGCACACCCTGCAGTGGTTCAGCAAGTATGGGGTGAGGTGAGAAGCAGGCAGGGACAGGTGACCATGTGATGATGATCTGGGGGGGAGCCAACAAGGAGGGGTGTCAACTAGGTGGGAGGAACTCAGCAAGAGTTGGGGCAGTGGAGAGCCAGCCCTGCCCCCATCGATGTCAAGCCAGACACTGAAGTCCTGGTTGTCACAGGCCTGGGGAAGGAGGGCAAAGGGGTGGGGGCTGGGCTGTCCAGATAAGGCAGGGGCCACCAAGGAAACAAGGCATGCAGGGGTGGGGGCCATTCAGCAGGTCACTCATTCATTCCACCATTCCTCCATCCAGCCGTTCATTCATTAGTTCATGAATTCAGCCACCAGTTCAAGTTCATTCATTTATTCCTCTTTGCTTTCCTCATCCAACTGATCCCTTAGTGCGGTCACCCACCCTCCCATTTGTTCATTCACACCTGCAGTCACACCTGCAGTCACCCACTGTTCACACCTTCCACGCACCTAGTCTAGTCACCTGGTCCTTCACCACCATCCTAATTCAACGTGTGCTGTCCCCATCTTCTTCCCTCCTCCACCCTCCCCACCCTCCCCACCCGAGACACTTTGTCCTGTCTTCTGTCTTTCTCCCCCTGCTACAGTGTAACAGCAACCAGGGTGGCGACTTTGTTTCACTGACTGCTACATCGCCAGCACCCGCACACAGACATTTTGCTGAATAAATGAGTTCTTTAAAAATCATACATTGACTGGTTTGGGGTTGAGTTATTCTTTTGTTGTTGTTGTTGTTTTTGAGACAGGGTCTCGCTATGTAGCCCAGGCTAGGCTGGAAGCAGCAATCCTCCTGCCTCTGCGTCCTCAGTGCTGGGATTACAGGCGTACCCTACTATATCTGGCTGTGGGTTATTCTTTTAGTTCTTCAAACCTTGTGCACACCCTAGCATTACTCTTCTTTGTCTACTTACTTTTTTCACTTATCTGTTTGTTCAATCCTTCCTTCAGCAAACACTTGCTGTCTGTCTGTCTGCTGCAGGACACTCCAGACTCACACAGTAACTCAAGATCACCTGGCCTGGTGGTATTCAGGCCCCCCACATTATAAAGTAAGGCAGGGAGCTTTCACTCCCCACCATGGCTCCACAGGAGCCAATGCTCTGATCATCCCCTGAGAGCTAGGTCCTGCGGGAAACTCTGAGTTAACCAGTGATAACCACAGCCTAGGCTGCACCACTTCTCAGAGCCTTGGCTTTGCTCTGGGTTGTCAGGCTGGTATGGGAAAATTTCTTTGTGGGTTCATTTGACCCAACTGCAGGAAGGTCATACGCTCCACGGCTGCTCAACAATGGGCAAGTCCAGAAAGTTTCCCTAGGCCTCAGTGGCCCCATTTTGAAGATGGGGCAAGGGTAATCTATGACCCTCCCACCTCATGCCTGCTGCCACCCTACCCACACAGGGTTGTAGGGAAGATTCAGAGTAGCGCCAGAGGTCCTGGTGGGGCCCTGGGGACAGGGTGCAGACAGACCTCACTTCGAGTCCTGAATTCTCCTCTTTCCTGCTCTGTGACTGTGGTCAGCTTCTTAGACACCTCCCTGTGAGGTCTCGCAGGTACCCCAAACTTGTCTTAGTCAAAGCAGAGCCCTGCTCTCCTCCTGTCTGGGACCTGCTCCTCTCCTAGTCTTCTTTCTGACAGCTCCAGCCTTCTAGCTGCTTATTCTTGCACCCGCAAACTTGGGCTCCTCCTTGTTTTCTTACCTACACCCTACTTCCAGTCTGATGGTAAATCCATTCATTCCTACCTTCAAGTACATCCTTACCTGACCACTTCTCATCACCCTCAAACTACCGGGTCTAAGTTCCTGTACCTCCCTTGCCTGACTGTTGCTGTAGACTCACAACTGGTGTCCCAGTACTGCCCTTGCTCACACCCAACAGCAGCGAGGGATCCTGCTTAACCAGTCAGATCACATCCTTTCTTAGCTCTGAGTCCTCCATGGCTCCCACTGACCTGAAGTGAAAAACAAAGCCCCATGCTAACTAGCTGTCATCCTGCCTTGTTACCGTCCCCCACCCCCACCCCCACTGCCACCTCTGCTGCCACCACCACCACCACCATCACACTCCAGCTACCCTGGCCTCTTTGCTATTCCTCAAATCTAACAAGCTGTTTGGCCCCAGGGCCTTTGCACTGGCTGCTCCCTCTGCCCAAAATACATCCTAGTTACATCTCTGTCAAATGTTACCTCTTTGGAAAGACCTTCCCAGACCACCTTTGTAAAGCAGTTGCTTTACAAAGCAACTCCTGTCACTGTCCTCTTGCCTTGCTATGTTTTCTTTCTAGCACGAACCTACCTTTGCCTGACACACGTACAAATCACCAGGCTTTCTCTGCTCTTTCTTCACCAACTATCTCCTCACAATCTGTTCCTGCTGTGCCCTGCTGCCTGGCACAGTGCCTGCACCTAGTAGTATCCTTGGGGAACTGGCACCCAGTGTGCCTGACCCAGGAATCTGCAGCCAGATGTGAGGGGACAGACTGTGGCCCTCCTGTGGTCCACCATGTCCCCCTGCTTGGCACCTCCCCCGCATCTGGCTGCCCCTCACTGTGTCCCTATTCAGGGCTGAGAGAGCTTGTCCCCTGCTTTCTCTGCTAGAATGCCTGTCCCCCAACTGCCCAGACCCTGAGAGCTGGAGATACCAAGTCACAGAGCTTCTGATAGGAGACAGGCAGGGTGGGAGTCGTGGGAGGGTTGGACAGGTAGCCTGGCCCCAGGAAATTAAGTCCCTGGGCATCCATCCATGACATTCCAGTCAAACACATGAAGACTCTTTGGCCTCTGGGGTGGACTGTCTGACACCTGGTTTATCATTCTTTTTTGTGGTACTGGGGTTTGAACTCAGGACCTGTACCAGTCCTTTTTTTATGATGGGTATTTTCGAGATAGGGTCTCATGAACTATTTGCCCAGGCTGGCTTTGAATCAGGATCCTGCTGATCTCTGCCTCCTGAGTAAGGATTACAGGTGTGAGCACTGGTGCCTGGCCTGGTTTATCATTCTAGTTGAGTGAGTGCATACTGGTTTTTTCCTGGAGACAGTGCCTCTTCCACAGCAGACCTGGGAGGGGGCTTGTGAGAGATGCCTGGACCCTCTTCCCTCTTGTTCCTGTGTGCTCTCCTCCCCTCTCAGGGCCTTAGTTTCCCATCTGCAGATTGAGGGGCCGTGGTAGATGAACGCATGGCTGATGGGTCTCGTGTGTGGCTATTAACCTCCTGGTGAGGGAGAAGGACCCTATGACTGGGAAGATGGGGACCTGTCAAGTCCGGAGCTGGGTTGGGAGGGTTGGGGTGGGCTGTGCTGAGCAGTTTGTCCTCACAGGCCTTGGGCAAATCCTTGCTTCACACATAGCCTCAGTGTCCTTATCTGTAAAATGGTATTAATACCTACCTCAAAGACTTACTGGAGCCAGGCACCAGTGGCTCATGCCTGTAATCCTAGCTACTCAGGAGACAGAGATCAGGAGGATCGAAGTTCGAAGCCAGCCATGCAGGCAAATAGTCTGTGAGACTCTATCTTGAAAAAACCGATCACAAAAAAAACAGGCTTGTGGAGTGGCTCAAGCAGTAAGAGCCTAGCAAGTGTGAGGCCCTGAGTTCAAACCCCAGTGTAGACAAAAAAAAAAAAAAAAAAAAGAATTACTGGGGACGAAATAAGAGAGCAAAGTATGGCAAAGGTGCTTAGCAGAGCAAATGAGCCATGAATGTTAGCTAGGTGGCTGTCATCACACTCATCCTCCTGCAGCCCTGTACAGGAACAGGAGGCGAACTCCTGTTCATTCAGCAAAGCCCTCTACCTGCCTATCTCCTCCAGCAAGTGCTCCACAGGCCTGCTCTACTTGGCACACACAGCTTTAACTTAGTGTCCTCATCACTAAATTATTTGCTTTTATTCTGAATCTCCCTCATTGGGTGACAGATGACTTTGGATGACCAAGGATGGGTCAGACCCACTCTGGGTTTCCAGCAAAACAAGGCATAAGGCCTGGCTCTGCAGCTGAACTTGGCAGTCTGCTGGGGCCAGAGGGAGTGGGAGAGGGGCGGGCTTGGTCCTGGTGGAGGAATGGAGAATGGGTTGCACTAGCCCACTGCGGGAGCCGCAGGCAGGGGGAGAGGGCTCCAGAAGAGGTCAGCGTGGCCAGTTCTGCAGCAAAGGACTCTGGGAGCTGGTCCGGCTGGCCTGCCACAGCGTCCTCAGCT